AATAAAAACATAAAAGCCAGAAAATAAATCTAATTTTTTGTTGTTGTTGTTTGCGTTCACACAGTGCAGCTCCCTTAAACATTTGGGAATGTTTTAAGTATTTATTTTATTTGTTAAAACACTTTATGACAGAAGACATTAAGCGATCCAAATCCACACAAAAAAAAATCATCCACCTTTAAAAAATCCAACTCTAATTATAGAGCAGATGTTCTCAATAGTTTGATTAGTAAAGTTAGAGATCCCAACAGTAAGTTCCTTAAGGTAACATACCAGGAGCTGGTAAAAAAAAAAAAAAAAAACACCATCAGGAATGTGCCTCAAGCTGCATCTTTTCCTTGTGTTTCACAGTAAAGTCATGTAAATGTGCCTGTGTACACTCCTTATAAGAAGCGCCATAAATTGCACAAGCAAGCCCTCTCAAACAATCAAACATACAAAGTCAGGAGCATCGTTCTCTCGCTCTGTGAAGAGTTGCAGAGTTCTGGTGAAACTGCGGGCCCCGCTGCAGACGAGCGTGCCTGAGCAGTGAGATCATGAGCGGGGAGAGAGGTGGCATAATGAAATCTGGCAGTCACAGCCCCGGCACAGGCTTCATATGTTCCACATTAGCAATTCACAAACCTCTGGAGCGGGGGCCCCAGAAGCCCTTTCCTCACTCCGCCTTTAGTCGCTTATGACAATCTGTCAGTGGCTCTTTGTGCTGTAGCGGCGGAGCGTCGATGAGAAGCGCCCGTGTTTATGGAGGAGTGCTGCGTCCTCAGCGGCGGGTGACACTCTGTTAGAGTCAGAGTCAGTGAACCCTCGCCAGAGTAAAGGAGGAGCGCAGGTTTATCAGTGGAGACAATAAACTCACAATGCTGAGTTGACAACAAAAGAGAGAGGAGTGAAATTGTTTGTGTGTTATCAAAAACCGCATCGGCGTTATGAGTGACAGCTCAAATTCTCCCAAAGTATCACATCTCAAAGCTTAGAGAAAGATCCTTTGTGGTAAAACTTCCATTATGAAAGGAGATTAACCAATAAGGATATTCCGAATGATGTGCTTTCGGCTTTATCCTCCCCTTGTCCTCCCCCTTTTCTTTTGAAATTATTCAAGTGTCCAATAAAGGACAAGGCAATTACCATCCTCTCTTTAATGAAGGGGAAGCTGGCTTTTGGTCCTGAGCACGGTGTGTTTGTGTTGAATTAGAATTAATGAGCCTGGTCAAAGTTTGCCTCTAATTGCCCTTTCATTAAGACCCATTTGTAATCATGTCTTAATGACTTCCGTGCCTTCTCGTAAAAGATTAAAAAGAGGGGAAAAATTTCAACTAAAAATGAAGATCACTGCTCTGAAAGTTGCGCTCGGGTCATTAAAATGTTTGGGACGAGTTCTGAAGACTTTATGAATCGTTGAGAAGAAAAAGAAAATGTTAATTGTCGGATATTTCAAACGCTACATCGTGAATCAGTTTAGCATACTATGATATCAAGTGGTCCTGAATTCCTGACTTTGAGTTTTTCATGGTTTCATTTCTTTTAAGTCCCTCTTTCTTGTGCATGTCGTGGTTGACTGTATTCAACGGGGACAAAGCCGGCGTTATTACACTCTCCTTAGGAATGCTAGAGTTGCTGTGGTGTGTGGTTTCAGTGTGAAGGTAAAAAACTGTGACACGTGCATTGGCTTCCTTTCTGCCCTCCGGCTGTATTCTGTATTAGAGTACAAAAATACCCTTGAATATCCAGAAGAGCAGGGGCAATTTAGCCGTGGCGTAAACAGTAAAGAGTCCCTACAGGAAACACTTAAGATGGATTGCAGGCTGCTGTATCTCCTTCTCTCTCTGTTCTCTGAGACTGTATACGTTCCCTCCAGTGACACACGGTGCTGTTTGGATTGCTAATGGAGAGCCGCGCTGGCGTAAAAGAGGTGGCAGGCTTTTATTTAGATAGGGCCAGGGTAAAGTAAACTTCTGAGTTGGATTCAAATAAACCTCGGCGGCACGGTTTACCCTGCAGGAAAGTCGCGGGCCATAGCATAGAGAGGAGGGTTGGAAAGGAGGAGTGATGAATGAGGAAGAAGAAGAAGAAGAAAAAAAAAAGGTCCAGTTGAGGTGCAGGGCTTTGCTGAGTGAGGACGTCCAGAGACAAAAACATAGGGGGGGGTTTATGGGTAATTCAATGAGGGGAGGAGGATGTGGGATTGTAGGTGTGTGTTGCATGGTCTTTAAAATGATTTCACAGTTTGTAATCTCCTCCGTCATCCCTCATTGCCCAACAGGACAGAGGTTAGGGCAGGGATCAGTGAGATTAGAAAACATGAAACTTTTACTCCCATCGAGTTAGAACACAGACCCTAGTATATCTGAGTGTCCATTTCCGACTCTGACAGCTAAGGGCCGACAGCACTAAAGCGGTGGAGTTGAGTAAACAAAGCAGATTCTGCCCTTGTCTACCACGAGCACATCTCCCAGCATCCCCTCATCCCTCCCTCCCTCGGCAGCTCTGGAATCAGCCGAGGTGAGCCAAGCCAAAACTGAGTCATCAGGAGGAAACTATCAACAGACAGAGACAGAGTGCTCAGATACTTGCCAGAGCTGCATGGAGGAGGCTTTTACCACTTATCTCTGCTAGTGTGAAAACAGGATGAAAACCCTCCAATGGTTCCTAGAAGTTTACCAAAGTTTTCTTTTGACTTGTTGAGCACTTTGAGCAAATGCTAACATGCTCTACTTGTGTTGTGAGTGATGTTTGAGGGCGTGTTTGGGAACATTAATGATTCAAAGTAAATAGTAATTATGAGTTTCAAACCTTTTATTGCTACTTTCACTCACAAGTTAAAGTACAAAATGTGACCTATGACCTGCGTTTAAAATGTGTTTTTGGAGTATTTTCACTTGATTCTTCACCTGAAGAGCCAATCAGTCAATCAGTCAATCTCCTGGGACATTTCGTACCATGTTGACAAGTGCCAAGTTGAAAAAACAAAACAAAAAGAGCATCAAACTTGGAATATACGTTTCTGCTATTGTCATGATCTGCGCTTAATTGGTAATGTGAGTACAGTTGTCAATGCACCAAACTGTTACCATAATTTATAGGGCACCAAGAAAACCACTTAGAGTTTCTACTTCTCCAAAGCAGTAGCTTACACAGCGTAAAAGGTGTTATAGCTACCACTGGCAACCACATTTTCAGGGCTAGAGGGCTAGCATTCAACATTAGCCTACTCAAATATAGGCTAGCAATAGTCAGCGATTATCATTTTCAATAGGCTTAAGATAAACAAAACAGTGCATACAATAACACTACATAAAGCACTTTATGTCTGATCCTTTTACACACTGGGAGTAAGGAGGGGCATCTATCTGGGCTGCCACTAGCGCTAGCTTAGCTTGTTTTTGGTTAGTTAGCTTGTTTGGATTCCTTCAGTGCACTTAGCCAGACCATACAACAATGAAAGCAACCACAGCAGACCCATAGGTAATTAATATAGCCTACAACGTCTTTGGGTTTAATAATAGTAATAAAATGTTTATTATTTAGCGGACTGGGGTTGGAGGCATAGTCAGAATTGGCTACTTGGCTACTAAAAGTCGGAAACGGCATTAAGTCGATTAAAGGGCTCTATGTAGATTTTAAAATATATATCTTTTAAATTACTCAATTCACAATAGGCCTACTTTGGTATCTTGGTTTCAGACTTTGAGACCGATATAAATACAACTTTTACTGTTAAGTTTTTTTTTTTTGATTTAGCAAATCCCCAAAATGAAACCACACTACTAAGTCTCTGGAGTACACATTTAAGACTTGCAATCTAATGACGTAGGATTACAAACATCTGACTGTTTATGTGTTGGCTCATGCTGGCAGTGATCAGACCTATGAATAAATGAGTGATGAGGTAAAAAGACCTGAGAGGTGCTGGGGGGGGATCAACACCTGCTGAGCATCCCAGCTGCCTCTGGCATGGACCAACACTTGTTGAGCTGTGGGGCACCCCACTGTTGGACATTTGCCCCCCCTTGGCACACAAGACTAAATATTTACAGGCAAAAAACACATAGCTAGCAGCCTCAGAGACTTGCTGCATGACGGTATGCAGATGTTGACACATGCTTTGCCTCAGGGTGCTCATGCACAACTTGGCACTGGTCTCAGCAGGCAATAAAGAAACATGTGTTCATACAGAATTCAGTGAGAACGTATTCACTTGTTGCCTTGTGTGTGTTGTTCATTCGCTATTTCTATCCCTGTGTACAAGTTTTAACCCATTTCTGTTTCACAACTGGACCCTCAGGTAGGCAGCGTATGAGCAGCATTACCCTGCATGCTTTGCTTGTTACAACTTGTCCAACAATGGCTGCAGAGTGGCAACACAAAATTCCAACTTTGGTTTTAAAGATTTCTTTTTTGCAGAGTGCAGTTAAAGGTTGAGAGATGAGTTTATACATATAGGAACCCAGTGTGGTGGCAGCAAAAGTGTTCAATTTAGGTGGTAAAAATAGAAAAAGGCTTGGAAGCTCACATTATGCAAATGTTTTAATGCCTTATCTTCAGGGGGGGAAAAAAAGCTTTGCAATTCTCTTTGGCAGTTGTGACAAAACACTGAAGCGAAAAAAGGATGTTTTTGTTCTCATTTTGTACGTCTCTTTGGTTGTACTTATATGTTTTCCTTTGTTCAAAATGTTTGACACGGTGAGCAACGTGCCATTTGGCTTAATTTCTTCAGATTATTTATCACAGTTTATTTTCAGTTCTATCAGCCTGGAGACATTTACTTCCTCAGTGAACATTTCGGAGCAGTGCAGCTTTTAGTTGAGCGTTTTTAATGAGGTCTAATTTGGGTGGGTCTGCTGAAAGATAGCCATCAACCGCTGCCTTTCATTACGGCTGCTGTTTAGATTAGCTGAGGAGGGGAATGAATCCGCTTGACAATACGTTTTAGAGGAGCCATGCGCAGTGCAAATGAAAAAATCATGTCTTATATAAATGTTTCTCTTCCTGTCTTCATACAGATGCACCACAGTTCTTCCCGACCTTCCATCCACCCGTGCCAATCGATGACAGACATACGCAGGGGCGTTACATCTACGAGCCTTCCCCCGTGCCCCCTCTTCACGTGTAAGTCTCTCTCAAACACACACGGACACTCTCATTAAACTGCTTTTGATCATAGCTGAGAACACGTTTGATTCAGTCAGATGTGACAAAAGGTCACATTTTACTTTATCAAAGTAGACTTACAGATACTTTAAGAAGAAAGACTGATAGAAGTGAAAAAGTACAGGCTCTGAAAAATAAAAAGCAGCCCTCAGGGGCGCAGACGGCCTAGCGGTTAGGTTATGCTCCATGTACTTAGGTAGAAGGTCTGGGTTCAAATCCAACCTGGGGGTCCTTTCCTGCACAACATTCCCCACTCTCTCCGATTCCCTACTCTATCCACTGTCCTATCAAATAAAGGCAAAAAGCCCCAAATTAAACATCCTGAAAATGATGAACTCTCACACTGATTGATGTCGTCTGTAAGGCTGGCGGATTCACATTCATCAAGGGCTCTAGATATTCTTCCTGTCGGTCGCTAAACACCATGCACTTCTTCCTTAAGTTTCCCTCTCTTGTCTGTGTCATCTTGATACGCCTTTTATGATAATCTAGTCATGTTACAAGTGTCGCTGAAGGTGAACAGATTGACATTAGGTTTAAGTCGTCTTGATTTAAACATGCAGTTTTTTGCTCCTAAATCTTGGTATGAGCCACAGAGCCTCCATAAACTTGATTATTTCATAAGCTTGGAAGATCATCAGAAAGTATAGATGATATTTTGGTCAGCAAATGCACATCTCTTTGTTCCTGCATATTCATAATTTGGTGTCATTTTTATTTGTCATAGTCAAAACTTTGTCACAACTTTTTATGCTTCTGTCTTTGCCGTGCAGGATGCCCTTGTAAAATACTTTTTTCCTCCACTAGATAAAAAAAAGGTAACTGCTGAAAAAACAGAAAAAAAACAGACACAATCTTTAAAGCGAAAGTAACAAGTGTGCTTTAAGAAAACAAGCTGGTTACAGACATTTGTGTTGAAGTGAAGGTGTGTTTTAAAATGCTGTCAAAGAAATAAATACTCAAATAAAGACCAGGCACATGAACGCACTAATTGGAACTTCTTTACTTTATATTTCTGGATTCAGCTGCATCACACTAATCATTTACGAGCTCCCGAATCCTAACAGCGATACAAATCAACGTCCTGAACTTCCTTCCGCCTGTGGGCGTGGAACATCCTCCTCGTGGGTGCTGTGGGTGCCTCTCGTTACCTTCCAGGATCAAAGGCCACGGCCTCTGTACTCGAGCAACATGATCCACATGTCAGAGACACGCAAATGAACACGTGTCAGAGACGTGGAAATGAGAGCGGGTTGAGGGGGGAGCCTGGGAGCGTGCGACTCTCATAAGAGCAGTGATCAAGCCCTGTCAAGAGAGGGAAAGCGATTCCTCCGCTGACATCTACCCGATTCTGACAGACACACACCGACTCCTGACACATGAACTGTATACAAGTTACCAGCCTGCCTTATCCAATCACATGCATGTATGGGCTATGAGCTATGAAGCAAAGAAAAGTCGCCATTTATAGAAAAAGGAAGTATTCATACAGCGACAATTTCATTAGAAATCATGCTAATGGTGAAGTGCTGTTGAAATGACACTTTTACAGTCGTGTCATTTATAATTTCTGATATATTATCTTACTCCACGTCTTGATTGATCAGCAAGTTGGAAGTCGAAATATGAAAGCGAAATGTGGCCATATTTGAAGTTAAACAACATATTTAATGACCTGTTATCAGACCAGAGCTAACGTTAGCCTCTAGCCAATTACGAGCTTACATAACCGCATTAGCTTGGACGCGGTTTAAAACTCATATTACCGATTGGTAGCATTACATGATAAAACAGGAAAGGCATTTATTTTCAGAATTTTTAATGTTAGCTAAATTTGTACGTTCTGGAAACATTACAAGCGCTCCTAGCTTATGTTCTGTTTTCAAGGAAGTGGTTGAATGTGCTAAAGTTAGCATGTTAGCTGTTGGGTAATAAGGGGCTAATGGGTTATCAAATATGCTGTTTTACTTTAAAATATCGCCTTACGTTCCTCCGCATTTGAGAAATTGAATGTACTTAATTTGTTTTTTTAAATGGGATGCCGTAAAATGATTGTCAGACATGCTGCGTTTATATGACTCACAACCTGTGACTTACACCAGCTTTTGAGCTAACCATCCTGAGTGACATCGAAGGAAAATCACCAGCGTGTGATTACGGTGAAGAACAAAAGTCTCCAATTTCGCTGGCGTGCCTATGATGGTGCTTCAAAGCGCTCTGTTGCACAAATCTCCTCCCTTTGAGCTACTTTCTATCATACTTTTTGTCTCTTTTGTGCCCTGCTTTATTTGTATTCTTGCGTTCAAACTGTAAAAAAAAAAAAAACCACAAGGAGATGCGTCATTGTCCTTGTGGAGCTTGTTTCCTTACCGCAGACACGGAGGAAGCGATCACGGCGCGACGGGGACAAATTGGATGGGGCAGCTACTTGGGCCGCATTATGTTTGATATTCTTCATCATTATCAACTCCCCCTCTTCTCCTCCTCAGGAGTCATATCTCTCCCTTGCTGATGTGCCACTAAGCGTAATGAATTTTTTATGTCCCCCCCCTCACTCTCTCCGCTACCCCACCTCCGGCCCACCCTACCTCTCAACCCCTCATCTCCTGCAGCAGAAGGGGGGGGGGGGACAAGGGGGAGAGAGGCGAGGAAATAAAAAAGGGAGGTGATTGATGTCCCGTGTCACTGCAAACAAAATGGCAAATATAATTTAGCATTTAGCTTATGCAGAGATAATGGGGCGAACACGCGCCGGCAACACAGGCGCGAACAAACAGCCTGGCTTGTTATCCGTCAGGGGTGCTTTGCTACGATGTGGAGCACAGGTTAGGGAGGGGGTTGAAGGAAATGAGGACGGGGGAGGAGGGACAACACGGAGCCAGGGAATTGAATTAAGGGTGGGAGAAGTTTCGCGGCGCCGGTGTCTTCAGTCACTCCGTGCGGACAGGAGTTATCTGCGCGCTTGGTTTGCTGTCAGCAGAGACACCGCCGTGCTCTGCTTTACTACTTAGGGCCTATTTATCCAAACCATTAAGCAACGAGCTGTTTAATATGACACACTGCGCTGAGGGAAACTATTTGTCATTATTATAAGACAGCTGTTTAGGGGCCAGACGTATTTAAATCGAGTGTGTGAACTGTTGCACGCGTTATCTCTGAACTTAAGTGAGCCTCATGCAGAACAACTTCTTCGTCCCAGGAAGCTACACTCCATCGTATTTCAACCTCATTTTATTTCTCAAATTGCCAGATCACAAAAAAAAGTGCTCTTATGTCACTTGACTTGAAGAGCAGGTCTCGACTGTACTCCTTATAATATTATTTAAATGTACCAAATATGCATCAGTCATGAGAAAGCAAGAAAAAAAACATCTTTCTTTAAACCGGCAGAAACCTTGAGCAGAACCAGATTCTTGATGTCGAGCAGCCGTCTGGACGGGTTGAGAAAGTGGGATAGATGGAGAAGAGAGAAAGTAGCACGGCCTGCTTGATTTGAAAAAAACAAAAGTCCTCAATGACAAAAGACATCCGTCATTTTCCGTATTACGGCAGCAGGGTTTGACTACCTGACGGCAAATTAGAGTTAATTACACTTTCGAGTTCAGCTTTATGCAAAATAAAGTCGAGGAAGTTTCCCGCTGCAGCCAAAGAGTAAACTTCATCGACGACTTAAAGTGATGCATTCTGCTCTGCAATGCTGCGTGTAGCGAGCCGGAGCAAATAGAGGCAGTCGACGCGCAGATGTCGCTTCAGGGAAATGGAAAAGAGGCAGCTTATGGAGAAATATTGGATTGTTTTAAGACAAGTTCTCCTCGGTGAGCAGAATTAATCGTTATTAGCCCTCTCAAAGATATGCCTAAGTACACAGGGACTATTATTGCGGTACTTCCCCATGCAGCCTCTCATTACGGCCTGTAATTACACTTGGGTTGCCCCTGCGGCGCTTCCATCAATCCAGCCAGCTTTCCCCCCGCCGCGCACACAAGCCAGTCACCACTGGGCATCCGTGGCCGGAGAAAAAAAAAAAAAAACACACACACACAGCAAACGCCCGGCAGCTTGTTTCCTCTCCGTCTGCAATGACACATCCACCATCCATACGTTGCAAATGAGCAGAATCATATCCTATTACAGTGAAGGGCCTAATTGAAACATGTTTATTTATGGCCCCCGTTTTCAGACGAGGAAGCGGGGCGTACATGGCGCAGCTAACGGGCTCCAGCGATATGAGGCAGTAGAATTAAATTAAAAGCTCATAAAATGAAATATGCTCTGTATTAGCTGTTTGACACTTAATTTGCCTTCAAATGAGCAGAGGAAATCACAAATTAACTGTCCTTTGTTTTTTCCCCCTCCTAACCTCACCTCCCCTATTAGGCGAGGGAGCATGCAATTACAGACAGAGGCTAATCGTTTAGTTTATGAATTCTTGTGGGGAAGGTACCAATGTGCCATTCAATATTAAAGCCTGAGGGTCAGGGGGAGGGGTGGGGGTCCCCTCTTGTTGGCTGCTTGCTCTACTCAGGAACTCGTAATAAGAGTGGGGAAGAGTTTCAAGTTTGAAATGAAACAAATGAAGTTTGTCAGAGATTAGTAACTTCCTAATGTAATATTAAGTTCTGTTTAAATCCAGAACCAGCAAAAGACCTGAAACTGAAACTAGCTCTCTTTCCTCGGGTCGAGAAATAGCTAATCACCAAAAAAGAGGAGACCCCTTCCTGCCCCTGAGAAGATGCTTCCTGCTTAAATAAACACATTGATCGGTGAAGAGCCGGCTCTCTGCGGGGGGCTCTGGTCCCCTCTGCCACCACCATTGTGCAGGAGTGGCTTAATGGGAGTTTAGGGGGGGAGTTCGGGGGTCCGAGAGTAGAGGCCGCTCCTTTCAGTCGAGCTTTATTGCCTGACCACGGTACACAGCTAAACAAAATAGGCCTCTCATGCGGCTCAGCGCCTGCTCT